CCACAATTAGTCGCGTTCATCGGTGAGCGTTTTTTTTAAAACAAATGATATTTTGCTCCCTGGTCTCTATCCTCATCCAGTTTTTTCTATATATTATACAGTTGTATTCTCTTTTTATGTCACTTCTTACAATATCTAAAAAAAACCCACTGTTAACATCGACCTTTAACTTTTAAAAAGCCTAATATCCGTTCTCTCGTTGGTGGTAACCCTCCTTAAGGAGGGGGGGCTACACCTGGAGGCTATCTCGCTTATTACTGAATCGAATTTTACCAAATTTCACACATATAACAAGCATAGTAAGGAGTCTTAAAATCCGCAATCAAATTTGAGGAAAAATGTTTCGTGATTTTATTGATATGTCTTACGTAATTAATACCGCACTTATCGCTCATGGAAATTGATTGTATTTTTGCATGCGTGTTTACTAACATTAGATCTAAAAATTTGTCTGTTGTTTTTTTCCTAATCGAATTAGAAAATTTTAAATGATTTTTTTCCTGAGGTAGCATTCAAGTTTGCAAAAGTTAGGCAATCTAAAAACAAATATTTAGTATTACCTCTTCTCTTCATTCTGTGAAAATTTCATGAAGATTGGAAGAAAAATGGTGGAGTTATTCAAAAAAGTAAAGAGAAAAGTCGCATTTTGAGAAAACGGCCGATAAAGAAAAATAAAATACTGACTTTATGAGGAAATGGCGGTTACAAACATGCCCGGTATGGGAAAAAATACGGTTTTGGGGGGTTCTTATGCCATGAAATAGTTGTAGGAGAGGCTGAGGAAGCTACAAATGCCTACAACGCAAATTCCATAATTTTGAGCCGAATTTTGATTTTGGGGCGGGGGTGTAGCCCCCCCCCCCCCTTAAAAAAAGTAAATTAATTCTCTTTTACCATTATCATTTAAATTTCCAACTTTTCGCCATACTCTCTTTTCTTTTGTTCTTTTAAGTTGGTTTTTTTTTCTTTCTTAATTTCTCCGTTCACACTTTGCTCTTTTCCTCTTTCCCTCCTCCATATCTGGGATAAAAAAAAAAGAAGAAAAAAGAACTACATGTAAGTCGTTTAACAGTTTAATATTTCCCTCCTTCTTTTAAGATTACAAGTAAGAAAACAAATCCTACTATTTGTTTTCAATTTCTCTAGTATACAAAAGCGACAGGCAAAGGAGAAAATAAACCCTTCTGCTTATCTTCTTCATAAACATAAATATCTGATGATAAGCGTGAAACGAAAAAACTTTACAAGAGAACGGATTTTATTGTGCTAGGAACCAAGGGAAAGAAAAAGACGACCTGCGGTGAATCAAGCATACATATGGTTGCCGCCCTTTGAAAAGGTTTTTCACAATATTATTGCCAGTCAATCATTGTCGGAGAGAGAAGGACTGGTCTCGTCTTTATTCATTACCGAGAAGTTGGTTGGGAACAGTAGCAGTAAACTACAGAAACGATAAGGTCGTAAAAACGAAAACAAGTCGCGACTTCGATTAATGTCTGGAAAGATTGGACCTTCAATTGGTAAAGCTATTTTCTCCCCCGTTAGCAGACCACATGTTGTAGAAAGAAGTGGGCACAGCTGCCATTCCACGAACAAAAATTATACTTCCCCCTCCCCCCCCCCCCCCCCATCCCCTAAAAAAAGACCAACAAACAACAAGCCAAGAAACCCTAACCAAGAAACAAGCCAACTAATTAATCAACCAACCAACCAACCAACCAACCAACCAATCAATCAACCAACAAACCAACCAACCAACCAAACTACCTACCAACCAGCCAAACAAACAAACAAAATACGTGAAAGGCTTGGCGCCTAATCCAAAGTCGTGTTTATATTATTATCATTTAACAGGTTTTCTCTTCAGGGTAGTCGCTGGAACAGAATTGTTCATTTGTAGAGTCAGGTTACCGTGTGCAGGTTGCGCAAGTTAAAAGTCCCTTGGTGGTCTAAAATCGATAAGAGTAGGCTTCGGCCGCCACCTGGGCAAAATTCAAAATTTCCTACCAACTGAAAATGTTTAATATGTCTCATGTGCGCTCATATGAACTTACGCAGTTGCGGGCGCGGTAAAACACTTACTAAAAGAAAAAAAGAGTCAGGTTATAAGCCCAGTAACGACCAAAACAGCGTTTTTCCTCAAGCCTGGCTATACTTTGCATGCAACAATTAAGCCAGAGATTCGTGGACCTAGTGCTGTGATGTATTAAATGTGCATTGTTTGTGTTGTTGGAAATGTCCTTAGGGGGGGGGGGAGGCTACACATGAAGGCTGTCTCGCTTATTACTGGACAGTTTAACCACATTTCACATATATAACAAGCGTAGTAAGGAGTCTTAAAATCCGCAATCTAATTTGAAAAAAAGTTTCGTTTCCATGGATACAGCGGCCATATTGAATTTTGCTGACATGTCTTACGTAATGAATACCGCACTTATCGTTAATGGAAATTGATTGGGTTTTTTTTGCAGGCGTGTTTACAAACATTAGACCTAAAAATTTGTCTGTTGTTTTTTCCTAAACGAATTAGAACATTTTTAATGAATTTTTTCCTGAGGCAGCATTCAAGTTTGCAAAAATTCCGTGAAAATCCACACTCCAGACACTACCAACAAAAACATATTCCATATATCAAAAATTGAACAAACAAATTTTTAGTATTACATCTTCTCTTCATTTTGGGAAAATTGCATGAAGATTGGATGAAAAATGGTAGAGTTATTCAAAAAAGTATAGAGTAAAGTCGCGTTTTGAGAAAACGGCCGGGAAAGAAAAATAAAATATTGACTTTACGAGGAAATGGCGGTGACAAACATGCCCGGTATGGGAATAAAAACGGTTTATGGGGGTTCTTATGCGATAAAATAGTTGTAGGAGAGGCTGTGGAAGCTAAAAATGCCTACAACTCAAATTCCATAATTTTGAGCCGAATCTTGACTCCCCCAAAGGAAATGTCTTCTGATTGGTCACTCGAAATGCGTCTATGAGAGAAGCTTTCTGTGACTGGGGTTTGTGTTTGAGCGCATACGTAATGTTTAGTTAGACCTGTGACGCGCAACACGCGTGAATGTTGTAAAACACTAGACAGGCCTCTTACTCGTATAAATGATTACTGCGCTCGAAGAACTTAAGACGTACTTGTTCATCGAATCACAAGAGAAAAGTCTGATGTCATCCATGTATTTACAGATTTGCAACAGATGACTAGGTAATCGGGACTGATCGCTTGGACTTGGAAAGCCGCGTTGCTGAGAGCTTTTCCCTGTGAACAGATCTATCACGAACAGTTTCCTCTTATCTGTTCCCGACATTTTATAGTGTGCATCAGTAGTGAGTGCGCTTTTCTGCGCCACCCAACCCATTCAACGCCTTGGTATTCATAATCCATAACTGCAGTCGAGGAATCCTTCACAAAACAGTCACGTGTCGTCACAAAATCGGCCAAAATGACCTATCATTCCTAAGGGAGGTCATTAAAATATCAAGGAAATGAGATAATTGCGTCTCTTCCTCCTTTTGCAAAGGTTCATGTTATATACGCACGCTCGTATAAACACACGCTTAGGGGCCTTCCTGAGCCCCGTGCGTTTAGGCGGAGACTTTACTGTACAAGCAAAGCCAGACTCTGTGTGTCACACCCACAGAAGGTTTCACTTAGGCGGAACTACTCTCTGATCTAGCGATCGCTGATTCGATGTGAGAAATTGAAACGAAAACATGGCGCATAGTGAGGGCAGCGTTGGAGGCGCCGCACAGCGAGGTTTGCTAGTGGTGTGGCTTGGAAAACGCCTTAAATCAGTATTTTAAAACTCTTCCGATCGGAAATACTGATATAGTACATTTTTATTGCCAACAATCTAGACAAGGCCTATTATAATGGGAAATATTACAATGTTTTTGTGTTGTTGTTCTTCAGATGATGGGATGGGGATCCAGATCTACATCTACACATTCACACTAAACTTAATAACAACAATAATTATGAACATTAGTTCTGTTAGCATTGTATCCAGATGTAATCTTGATTAGTTACAATCAAGGGGAAGCTGACACTAAATGCTCACTACTCATTACAATTACATGTCATTAAATGTAAGGCCATCCACAACAAGGAAAAAGAATGTAGGCCTTTTCTCAAATTTACTAGAAATAGATCAATAGATTGAGGTTAGGCTATATTGATGAAATGTATTACTTCTAACTTTAAGAATTCATCTCTGTGTGTACAGCATGTTTTGTTTAAGTGTATGCGAGTCTAACAAATACAAGAGGTTGGAGAATTGTGAAGTGCATAGAGCTGGCTGTGGGTCGGGGAATTGCGCTATACAAATGCTATCTATTATTATATTCCTTCATACGATTCTTCGAAGCTCCCTCTCTACTCATTATTACTGATTACAAAGCTTTCTTGAAAAGAGAAGATATGCCACACCACAGCCCCAGTTCTTATTACATAAATAAAATGATTTAAATTGCATAGATACCTTTGTAACACACGATAAGTAAACCATTTAAAGACTTCAGGGGAAAAACGACGGTAGTCACAAACTGAAAATCGTGAAGGTAAATATTTTGAAAGTTTGTTGACTCATAAATGTATTTCTGTTCAACTGTTCGTTGATTAATGTTTTTATATTTACCATTCAACAACATTTAACAACAAACCACCAGTCAAAGAAATAATGAAGTTATGATGCCACAAGCTTTTAAAATTGGCCGGCACTATTTCTCCAAACGTTCGGGAAAATAAAGCTGGGCACTATTTCTCCGAACGTTCGAGAAAATAAAGCTAGGAACTATTTCTCCGAACGTTCGGGAAAATAAAGCTGGGCACTATTTCTCCGAACACTCCGAAATCACATCCTTTCCCGCAAATTTCGGATATTATATAGAGTATAGGCTTACCAAAGATTGTTCGTATACAATATGGTTCAATCGGTCCAAAAAATGTCCGTAGTAAATATTTATATAAAGAAATGCTACAGTTCCAAACAGTTTTTCGCTACAGATATGACGTGTTGCCTATAAAGGGTGCTGCTTTTAAACTTAATGTGTTGTGTTCACTCGAGTGCTGTCTAGATGACAGGTCCGGATGCAGTTCCAGGGCCTCAGTGAGGAACTTGTCTAGGGTCCATCTCCTGTCGGGGTCCGGAAGAAGAAGGTTCCCCAACAAGGGAGCGCACTGTGGGGGGATGTTGTCTTGGTGATCCAAAGGCTTGTTCTTGACTGGACACAGACCAGACAGTACCTGCCACATGCTGACCGCCAGGCTGTAGGTGTCCAGTTGGAATGGACAGAAGGGACCACCGCCCTGGTCCGCCTCGGGTCCCCGGAAACCAGGCGCAGCTGTCCACGTGTCCACCTTGTCACATCACATCCCCCAGGGAGTAGACTCGCAGCGCCAAAGTCAGAGATGAAGGCGACGTCAGAGCCAGTGAGGAGGATGTTCTATGACCTCAAATCCTGATGATAAATCCTCTTCTTGTGTAGGCTTCGGAGAGACACCGCCATCTAGGGGAGGTAAAGGAAAGGGGAGACTTTGTTAGGGTTTAATTTTAATTTTCTAATGAATGTCCTAATCTAATACCGTGGAATCAAGTAAGAGACGAGAAGTTGCTATTGGTCAAACAAGATAAATAGACCGGAAAATATAAGTAGACAGGGACTTATAGAGCTTGGCAAATTTGACCCATGCTAAAATGTCTTTTGATGAAGAAAGTTTTTTTTGTAAAGATATAGGACACCTCTAACTTCTAAATTGAATCAAAGAAATATTGATATTGTTGATGAGATACAACTTTAAACTTCAAAGCATTATGATCTCTAAGGAAAGAGATAGATAGATTAGAGAGAGAGAGAGAGAGAGAGAGAGAGAGAGAGAGAGAGAGAGAGGAGAGAGAGAGAGAGAGAGAGAGAGAGAGAGAGAGAAAGAGAGAATTATAAGTTATAAGAAGGACAAGTACTTGCTGACAAAAGATAATAGGACACTATATGACATAATTGACGGAGTAAAACAAAAAAAGAGTAGGTCCTAGAAATGGCACACTACAACAACCAATAGAGAAAAGGAGAGAGGGAGAGGGAGAGGGAGATAGAGAGAGAGAGAGGAGAGAGAAACAGAGAAGGAGTGAGAGAGAGAGAGTGTGTGTGTGTGTGTGTGTGTGTGTGAGAGAGAGAGAGAGAGAGAGAGAGAGAGAGAGAGAGAGAGAAAGAAAGAAAGAGAGAGAGAGAGAGAGAGAGAGAGAGAGAGAGAGAGAGAGAGATTTATAGTAATAAATAGTATAATGAAGGTTTTTATATAGCGCTTGATCAGGAGAAGACTCTAACCGCTATACAATGCAGAATTATCATTTCACTAACAAATTAAAAGAAAGAAAATGGACATTGTGAGACCATTAAAAAACACACCCATACACAAATAAACACACAAAACTCCCTGGCACACACACTTTACCACTTTCAACATTTACAGACAGAGGATAGTACTGAAAACTTAGCAAATGTGTCTTTAGACCATTTAAAAACTCTCTAATAGCATATGCATTTCATTTAGGAGGGAAATCCAAATGTTAGAGGCATAGAAAGAAAAAGCTCTTCCTCCCAAATTGTCAGAAAAAAAGGCGAAGAGGGAGAGAGAGAGGGAGAGAGAGAGAGAGAGAGAGAGAGAGAGAGAGAGAGAGAGAGAGAGAGAGAGAGAGAGAGAGAGAAAGAGAGAGATAAGGAGAGAGCAAGAGAGAGAGACTAAGAGAAAGAGATGGAAGAAGAGCAATCTTGCCCATTTGGAAGGTTTCCAAACTTTCTAAAACACGGCTGAATTTTCATTTTCTAATTAATATCCTAATCTAACACCTGGGAATCAAGTAAGAGACGAGAAGTTGATCAATTAAGATAAATAGACTGGTAAATAAAAGTAGACAGGGACATATAGATCTTGACAAATATGACTCATATTAAAATGCCTTTTGATAAGAAAGTATTTTTTCTTTAAAAAATATGGGACACCTCTAACTTCTAAATTGAATCAAAGAAATATTAATACTGTTGATGAGTTTGAGCGCGCCGCTACAACTTGAATCTTTAAAGCATTATAATCTCTAGGGAAAGAGGTAGAGAGAGAAACAGAAAGAGTGAAAGAGAGAGAGAGAGAGAGAGAGAGAGAGAGAGAGAGAGAGAGAGAGAGAGAAAGAGAGAGAGAGAGAGCAAGAGAGAGAGAGAGAGAGAGAGAGAGAGAGAGAGATGGTGAGAAAGAGATGGAAGAAGAGTAATCTTGCCCATTTGGATGGTATCCAAACTTTCTAAAACACGGCAGTATTGCTTTTTTTCTCTGTTAAAAAACTTTTTCTTTCGACTGGCGTCATTTATAAAACAATAAAACAGTACATGTTGTCTAACAGGCGTGTACTGTCCTGATGTTTGTTTATTATCAAGAAAAAAGACTTGTGTGTGTGTGTGTGTGTGTGTGTGTGTGTGTGTGTGTGTGTGTGTGTGTGTGTGTGTGTGTGTGTGTGTGTGTGTGTACAGGCAGAAATATAAATAAATTGATATAATTTGAGACTCATTAGTTATTAATTAATGTCACCTTCACGCTCCAGCAAATCTTAAATGTATCAGTAAATCAACAAGAATTAGGATAAAGTATACATTGAAGTAACAAGTAGAATATGAATGTACTCACCCTGACAAACACTTTCATCCAGCCGTCGTGGCTCTGTTTCCCTGTCTGCGAGAGCAGGTCTCTCTTCTCGTAGAATGGTATGATCAGATAGCCGGTGGGACCACAGAAGACGGGACGTGACAACAAAGTCACAACTCGACGTATGTCAGCAGCCAGTTTCATCAGATACATCTCGCGGGTGAAGCGATTTTGCTTGATAGCGAATTTCTTGTCTGGGATGATGTTGCTCCTCGCCAAGAGAATCTTGCTGCGTTGTCCTTGGTGCAAGACGGACGAGTAATGATTGCGGTGGTAGTGGAAGACATCTCCCCCCTTATGCAGCTTGATGACACGAATCTTCTCCACAGAACTCATGGTGAAATGAAGAAATACTCGGATGTAACCAAAAACTGATTGAATGCCTGAGAAAAATCACCAGAACTAGATGGGAACTCTGAAGATCGCAGTAAAAGCTGTCGCACTTGTTGACTATTATAGTGATGACAACGTGGATTCAATAAAACAGCAATACAATGCACTCTACACTCCACAAACGAGGGGAAAGAAATAGTACAGACAAACGTTTTGCAAGAGTTTAATATAATGACAAAAGAAGTGTCATTTTTTTGGCGGGAATCGTTCCAACGTTCTGATTGGTTAAAGGGCCACGCTCAATTGTCAATCTTTTGTTGAAACGTCGAACTTTCCAGAAATTCAAGTACTTCCGATGGCTCGTCGCCAGATTACACAACCGCCTGTTACCTTAAAGGATAGCGCCTGGGTGTCCAGTCATCCATTACGCCTGTGATGTAATCTTCATAGACGCTGACCAGGTGTCAACCTACCGCCCCCGCTCCTACAGCGGTTTCTGTTTTGATAATAAAAAACTGAGCAGTAGTCACGTGGTAGAATTACGGGCACAAAGAAGAAGTTAACTTTTATGACATCACAATGGACAGCTTGTTTAAGGCACGCGTCATGGCTTATAGACACAAAGGAACTTAAAATTTTAGTGGATAGTCTTTAAGACACTGACCACTTACTCTTGAACACGTGTTGAAAGTTTGTGAAAATATTGAAATTTCAACAATGCAGAGAGACAAGAAACCTCTTTACGAAAAACAATGTGATAGCGTTGAAATGGCAATTCTAATTTTTTCCCCTCGAAGGCAATAACTTTGAGACCTTTTACATCAGCTTGATAGAGAGTTACATGTGTTTATGGAGGGGGGGGGGTGAAGTTGGTCTATGTCAAGAGAATCTGACTGCGTTGCCCTTGGTGCAAGATGGACGAGTCTTGGGTGCAAAAGCAGTGAAATTCCTCTACTACCAAATGATTATTTAAAATACAATAATATGCCGAAACCATTTCACAACCCCTATAATATGGCTTGCAAAAATTACAAAAAATGTAATATTCTCAAACATAGATAGAGTTTTCGTTTTTTT